TCAACTAGGTTTTTTTTGTGGTTAACTAACTCGAGCCCCCACATTCTGGCTGTCGAAGGTGGGAAACCCCCTACAAGCCCCGCCCAGCGAGCGTACTGATGTCGATGGCGTCACGTCGCCACGCCTGCCACCTCCTGTCCAGCGGCACACATGGGCATCCCCCCCCCCCCCCCCAACTAATCTTAGTGATATCCGAGTAGTCGCAACTGATAATCGATAGAGTAATCGATTACTTAAATGCAAGTCCGATAGTCCATCCCAAATATTAACACCACGACTTCGGGCGGAGGTGAGCCGGTCCGCGTGTCAAACCGCGTGGAAAATCAGCCCGCATCTCCACAGCACCGTTGCTAGGCATAGCCAAGTGAGCGTCAACTGCACAGCAAACGTAGTCTCTCAAGCCCGAGGGTTTCTCATTGAGACTCTTATCCAGGTTGTATTCTTTCTTTTTTATTCACAAATGAAACGAAGACTCTGCACTGTACGGCAACGGTACGCACTAGTAACCCGCCTTTAACAGTGCACGGCAGCTCTGGCTGTGAAACACACATTGCCACGCGTATATAATTACGCATTGTAAATGTTACCATCAGCCATGATCAATCCACTGTTGGATGAAGGCCTCTTCCAAGCCACCTCTATCGCTGCCAGTCCTGCCACGTATCCGCCCACCTAGCACCTGCATACAAACTGCATGTATCGTTCCATCTCCACGGTCGACGTTGTATTCAACATTCGTATTAGTATGTAGGTATGTGTGCTTGCGCATCTTATCTGGTCACGTTGATTCAAGCTCTAGCCCGAGTCTGGCCAGGAAATACCTGGGCGTGGAATCAAGCAGTGGGATATTCGTCCAGTCTAGGCTGCGGTGGCAGATCGATTGTTCGAGTGGAGCAAGTGCATTGGGATTTTAGTTGGTGGCTTGAGCGAAATATTGAAAGGTTGAGTCGGCGAGATGAATCGGCCCAGGCGGACGGACGATGGACGGGCAGATGGGTGGGGGGGGGGTGTGACCAGCGTTCTCATCTTTGGATAAGAGCTCTGGATTTTGTCAGAGGGCGGGGTTCACAGCACCCACCCCACTCCACCCCACTCCCCCCACCCCACAACAGCTCCTGCTTTGGGGATTTTTTTTTTTAGAATCTTTAAGCGAGCCACTTATTCGGGGGTTCAGGAGGGTTACGTTCAGGGGGAGGTGCAAGGCTATAAAAGAGAGTGGGAAGCAAAAAAATGATAAAAATGCCACGTCTTTTTCTTTTGCTCATAGGAAAATTATCCTTGCTTGTGAAATGGAGGGCTCGTGAAAATGTTCGGTCAGATTTTCGCAAGATTGCGGGGGCAGTGGTGCTGAATTCTGCAACACATTGGGGGCACTTATAGCCGTCTGCAGGCCTAATCACACGTTTTCACGAGCTCTAGAAAAATATATAATAATTGGCCATCCAAACAGAATTGGAGAATAAAAAACAGACAGCTTTGCCAGACATTATTCATTCTTTCGTCACAGATAAAGGCCTATTCCAGCTGTTATACAGTAGATTGCAGTACGCTTGGTCTTTCTCTAACGCATGTTGACTTCCACAGTCACGTTTGTCACGGTATTAGTCGTCTCCACGCAAAGTGCACAACTGCTGCTCGAGATCTGTGGCGGTGGAATCCGGGGTGCGTCCAGGCGTCCTGCCCTCCTGGAAAGGCTTTCATCAATCTTGCGAATCCCTCCCAAACCTCACCCACCCCACTACCTCCTCCAACCAATCACACACCAACGGGGATTTCAGGACCGGTGTTTACCACTGTAGAGTTTTTTTTTTTGCCTTGACTAAAATTAGGCCTAACTACACGGCTGCCTCCCCAAACGCAATTCCCTTGGTGCGACGCAACCACCGCAGAGTCTTCCAATCCTCCCACCGCAGCCCCCTTTCATCCGTGACATTCCTCCTCCCACACGCCGAGTCACAACAGCGCTCAGGCTCCCTCGCCCGTGGCGAGGCTGGGACAGCCTTCCAGTAACCTCTGTCCGGTTGGATTCCAATGCTGTTGGGTTGGCTGTTCTCTTAGATGGCGTGGCCAGGGCTTATACATTTTGTGGAGGATTCTTCTCCGTATATTCGATTATTTCGCTTGACTCTGTCACCACCTTCACCACCACCAACGCCTCCCATGTCCGACGACACGCAACACGTCCATTGTTGTTCATCCTGGTTTGTTTTGTATGTGGTACACGAATGATGGAGCTGAGTCTAAGTGAAAAGGAACAATTAAACATTTTCGTACGTGACTCGTAGTCGTACACACAGTGAAGCTACGGCTCAAAATTCGCAATGACACCGCAGGAGCGATGGTCGTGCTTTCAGCACCACGTCTCGGCCGTTCCAAAGCAGCCAACGAAAGCCCTGGGGGCTGCAGCCCCCCCCCCCCCACTAAAGCCCCCCGTGCTAATCCTGCCCCGAGTTCCGGTTGCGATTTCAGAACCCCGCCGAGCTTGCAGTCCGACGAGAAAGACAGAACGCTGGGGCGTGACGACGAAGCGGCCTCGCACGACAGCGGCGGTGAGGAAGACGTATTGAGCAGAGCGCTAAAGCAGGAGCCGCGGATTTAGTTTCGTGCTTATCTGCGTGTGAATGCGCTGTGTCGGACGCACGCAGGAGCAACGAGGGGTGGTGGGTGGGTGGGTGGGTGGCAGCTACCGCCCCGCGCACACCGACGACATGAACCCGGATCGAACAAGTGGCCATCTCGGCTGATGCTGCATCCATGGCAACGGTAAATTTGACGGCGGTGGAAGTGGTCGGGAGGTAAAGGGGGCCACTCGCCGGGAGCCAAGGTTACGCGGTGCTTTTCGGCTGTCTGCGCGATTTCACAGAGCCTGTGGAAAAAAATTGCCAAATCCCTGGAAAACGGCCGGACAAACCGGTGTCCAACTGCGCATTGTTCGCATTTGTTGAGTAAAGTGGCCGAATTTGAGAGCACGGATTAGGAATCGGGTTAAAAGTGTGCTGGTGGAAGTCTGGGTGGGGAAAATAAAAAGAAAAAACCTAGCGATGGCAAACAGAGCCCAAATATAAAATACAAAGCAAAACAACAATTACGTAGGGCTACAATAACAGGAGAAAGACATTCACACAGAGACATCAGCACACATGACATTTTCCACAAGAGTAAATGCTACCCTGATGCATATAAAATACGAATTCACCGAAACGTATCATTCCGTATTCCATACGTGGCGCGTTATTTGCGCGATGACGCTCTCGCGTGCTGTATCACAACACCGCTGTATTTGTAGCCGCTGTTCTTATTATTATGAATACTATTATGCATGGTTTTTTTTCCCTCGGCAAAAACACACGAGGCGGCTTTTGTGTTTCGCTCTCACGGCGATGCCAGACTCAACAATGGCCAGCTAGATTTCTTCCCTTTCTTCGGGCTCGTCATGCCCGCGTGGCCGAAGGCGGGCAGGTGGAACTTGCAGATCGAAACAATTGTCAGCGTCCTTGTGGAGAAGATACATTAAAAAAAATATAAAGACGCAGATGAATAACCACTCCTTCACATACCTGTCTGTTTCACGTAAACATATCTCGTTATTCATCATTCCAGTAGCATTGGTTTATAGGCGTGCAAAACTCTGGACCGATTTTGACAGTGTCTCTCTCATCAGTCGAGTCAGGCTTGTTCGAAGCAAATCTTACATGCAAGGGGTCTCTCCATGCGCTGCGGTGTCCTACTTCAACGCAACAATAACAGAGTAATTCATAACTCAAAATGGTAATATATGAAAATAGCGAAGCATACATTACGTCTCATTCACACACCCATCTCTTCACGGCAGCTTTGAGTGAAGGTTCATCCTGCAGATGATAATTACTGGACACACAACCAGCCATCCGGCCAGCCGGCTGGGTTGAGCCATCCGGCTGAGTCTTTCCAAGTTTAATAAAAAATGAGCAGCGATTTAGCCACGGAAGTCCTGGCGATACAGTTGGCATTTTGTCAGTAACGTTATCGCACTGTGTAATTTTTCACATTCATAATTATTCTATTCATTCATGAAATCTTAATTAGGAAATGCAGCATCTACCATTGAAATGTCCGTATTCTTTGTTCGTTTCTTTAATAGCCAACCATCCGGCTTGCGTGGAGCCAGCCGGCTGCATCGAAGCAGCCGGGCAGCGTTGCGCCAGCCCACCTGAATGCAGTGGCAGAGGGAAGTCAGCTGCAACAATAACAACAAAAAGCCGCGGAGAGCAGGCAAATTCGTCGCGACGTTGTCAGCGCGATCGGCCCTTTTTTTCGTCGCACGCGACGATCCATCCATTCCGATGCGCTGGTTTGTCACGGCGCGACCCTCACGCGAGCCTAATACCGCAGCGCATGCGATTTCAGCAATTTATCTGGGCAGCCACGTGAAGCCGCAGCGTCGCAGCTTTCGGGAGCAGCGCACGCGCGCGCACGCACGCATAATGTAAGAGCATCTGTTCGTGCGATTCCTCCGACAGCAAGGGGTCACACGGAAAAGCACTCCTGGAATTCCCGCGTAGGAAACCTCAGCTGCGAACCCAACAGAGCCCCTCAATTACTTTATCGGTCGGCTTTATCTGGGAGCACACGGACCGCTAATGCAAAGAGTAAGAATGAATATTGATTGGCGGCGCAGCCGGGAGCCTTGGGAGAGGAAAACAAAATCTCACGAACTAAAGAACAAAGAAGACGAGTGAGTGGTGGGTGGAGTGGGGGTGGGGGGATCAACCCCTCCCCCCACCCCCCCAAAAAAATAAAAGCTGTCTCCAAATATTTGGAGCTGGCATGCTCGTTGCGATTTGCCGTGGGGTGCTGTCGGGTGGTCGAATGTAGTTGCGTAAATTGCCGCGCCCTCCGCCGCAAAGCTTGCGGGAGTCGAGCGGCGGAAGGAGGCCGCTAATGGTGGCGGACTTCATGGCCGGCGAGCACTTCGGCTGCAGTGGACAAAAAAATGGGAGTGGGAAGGGTGGCGACATTTATCCAGCGCCCGCTCTTTTGTGAGGGTCTTGTTGTGCGCTGGGCTTTAGCGACGCTCCGATACAGAGCAGTTGTCCTCTCCCTTTTCTCTTCTCTTGGGCGCGGAGTGATCTGCAAACAATGTGCGAGCAGAGGGGTCGCGGCTGTAAACACCGCTGACGAGAAGCCGCGGCATTGTTGACCGGCACACAGCAGCAAAAAAAACTGCGAGTTTTCGTTGGAATCGCTCGCAACTCCATCACCGTCCCCCCACACCACCACCACCATCCCCCAACGCCCCCCCCCACTCACCGCCGTCTCCAACCGTGCCCCGGCTTCTTTATCTCGCTTCTGGAGGGAAATGGAAAACGCGACACGGGTTGAGTGGTGGGCGACACACATAGCCTTACAAGACGCAGGGGACTGTTTTTTTAGCATTATTTTTGTACACTGGGATTATTGCTGCGGTTTAGTGCAAAGTGGTAAAGGTTAGGGCTTTGACAAAAGGATAGGGTTTTGAATGGGTTATTTTACCAGCGCTGTTCCTAAGGCTGATGAAAGTTCACCCGCTGTGCCCTCCCTCCCCCTGCAACACGAGCGAGGCCAACCTGAAGGACGGCTGGGGCCGATGATACCAAGACGAACACACACACACATACACACACATACACACACATACACACACATACACACACATACACACACACATACACACACATACACACACACATACACACACATACACACACATACACACACACATACATACACACACACATACACACACATACACCCACATACACACACATACACACACATACAAACACACCTACTAGTGCGTGCTCTTTCACCGGGATAATGGAGCGTTACTGGTGATAGGTTAGAGGTGGGGGGTGCTTGTTTTGTTTTTACTTCCCTAGAAAAGAAAAAGCATTTGCAACAAACGATTTGTGAGTGAGTGCCGCTTCGAGTTTGAAAAGTTCGGAGTGTTGGCAGTGTCCGCGTGGGTTTCAAGCACCCCCACCCCCCCAACTACCCCACCCCCAATCATGTGTGTACCGCAAGCCGTCGACAGCTGAACATCCACAGAGAGCAGTCACCAGGAGTTGCAAACCTGCGGCTCTATGAGCCGCCTTTGACTCTTTGGCTTCCGACTCACCCCCCCCCCCCCTATCTTGCTGGTAGCCGTTTTGAAAAAAAACTTTAATTATTATAATTGTGACTTAAAGCTTTCGTGACTGCAGGGTCTTTCGGTAAAAGTCACGTAGATAGATTGAAAGAAAATAACAAAAAATAACAAAAAATATTTTAGTAGTTTTAGTTTAAAATAACAAAAAATAACAAAAAACTACTTTAGTACTATGGGGACCTCATTTGCCAGTAAAAATATGATAATTGGTTCTTTACCCTTCTATCTGGCAACAAAACTGACACCTTGGGCAGTGTGCTTGTTTGTATTTATGACTGCAGGTATTGCGGTCTATGCAAACATGACTCCTTGCAAAAAGGTGTCAGTTTTGTTGCCAGATAGAAGGGTAAAGAACCAATTAACTACTTTAGTAGTTTTTGTTTAAAATAACAAACTATCTACGTGACTTTACCGAAAGACCCAAACAATAGTATTATTATTGATTAATTATTTCACGTATTTGGTCGCAATGGAATGTCTTGGTGACGACAAAATGTACAAGAGTCAAACTGCATTGTTCAACAATAACTAAGGGACGAGGAATAAACTAAATAGACGCGGATTATTCCGCCGTCAATTTTGTCTGCTTAAGTCGGGATAAGTTTATCACACGCTGTATACCTGCTGTGTGTGTGTACAAGTAGCCCTGCGTGTGATGCGGCTCTCGAACAATGTTGCTCAAAGACAAAAACAAATTGATCTTCTCCGTCTTCAAAAGCTTCCCGACAACTCCTCGGTGCCCACTAATAACTGAAGGTGCCCCTGCCAGGCTCGTCTGCGGTAGTTCGCAGCTCCGGCGTGCGTGGCGACAACGGCGGGCGGGCGGTAATTCATACACCGGGTCCACGTTTCGCAAGCGTAGAGAAGGGAGGGAATGACTGTGGCCGAGAAGACCTGAAGCTTCGTGCGGAGCGACAGACCAGGTAGCTTCCACACAGCGTTACGCAACCGATGAAAATATATTGCCGCTCGACTGATTCGGAGTGAGACCTCTGCTGTTAAACTGGAGCCCGGTCATAAGCACACTGCCCAGGTATGGGAAACTCTCCACTCTCTCCACTACTGCCCCATCACCAATTGGGAGTTGTGGCAAACTGCCCTACTGATGTTTGTGCCCATGGCAGCAGCCCGCCGATGATGATGATGCGATCGAGGCCACTTGTCATGGGGGTAATAGTCTCTCTGGAATGTGCACGTGGCACAGGTGGCTTGGAAATCATCAGCGCCGAGATGCTAAGGTCAACCATCGAGGTCGTCTCGATTATTTTGCCGGCGTACATTTCCTGCTCTGTCGAGCTATCATTTGTGGCCAGGTTACTTCTGAAAAATTAAGTTAATAGCTCAATGGGCTTTTACCTGATAAGATGAAAATGTGTTAAGTTTTGTGTATTTTAAAGTGATTTGTTGACTCTCCCTATATTCTAGATTTGAAGCTTTCGTTACTGCAAGGATTCATATTATTAGGTTTTTTTTCGGTAAAGTCACGTAGATAAAAAATTAGAATTAAAATTAATAAAAGTCTACGTGACTTTACCGACAAAACCTAAGAACATACTCTCCCTATTCTTAGATTTTTTCGGTAAAGTCACGTAGGTAAAAAAACGGAGTGGTAGCTACTGCAATCTCTCATTTACTTGATACAGCTGTCGTGGCTGTGACGGTACCACCTGAAGACGGAAGCTTGTGTTGCCTCCGAAACGTCGTGATTTTTTATTTTTTATTTTATTTTACTTTTTAATGTTTTTTACCTACGTGACTTTACCGAAAAAACCTAAGAATATGAATCCCTGCAGTCACGAAAGCTTCAAATCTAGAATACTCTCCCTATACTTTGCCCTCCTGTCGTGTTTTCGTATTGTTTGTTGTTGTAACGTCCTCGTGCCCCTACTGGACAGCTGTGAAAAAAAGAGCTTTTTAGCTCATCGGATTCCTCCAGAAAAAAAAATTAAGATTTTGAGGCAGCTGCCTGGGATTCAAAGCTGGGTTCTAGAGTGGAGTGAGTTGATGGTCACTTAATTTGGCGAACATTCCAGGTCTGATAATCCAAAAATGGAATTGGGTTGACCGTAACGCGACAAACATTTACTCTCTGTGGCAGGGGCGGGTGGGAAAGAGGCGCCACCCACTTTGTGGATGGAACATTGGAAGGAATCTCAGAGGTCGCTCTGCGATGTTCACTTCTGTGGGTCGTTGTCGAGCACGATGGGTCGGGCTGCTCTGCGAGAGATGCTTTGTCTCGTGACGCGACGCCGAGAGCGCAATTGGGATAAATTAGGAGAGAGAAAAAGTAATCTCAAATTGATGAGGCCCACGTGCAGGTAATAGACATTAAGAATATATTTACATTCAATAAGTTCATTTGGACAAATGAGGAGCAAAATAAAGTCAGGCTGCAACATTAAACACGCCGGTAATTCTGTCTGCGGAGGGAGCTCCCACGTTGTTGGGGAATTTGACTGGAACAAGAGCAATAGGCACATGGATCACACATAGTCTGCTGAATTACAATGTTATTATTGTACACACTTGTGAAGGAGCCCCGGGAGAGAGAGGGGGGGGGGTGCGAGCACAATACCCCCTCCCCTCCACTCCTTTGAATAAAACCATCAGTTCAGTCAAACCCGTGAACTCGCTAAAACCTATTCTGCACACATCGTAGAGCCGATGCCCATTTTCTTCCTCGGTGCACTGCAGTCTCCGATTAAGCCGCGTGGTTAAACTCCGCCTGCGTTTTCCTTCAGACCCGGTATCGTCGTCTCGTCACGGTCGTGGGTTGCACGTGGGTCCTTGGTGGGCAGCAGCAGCAGCAGCAGTCGTCCTCAAAGTCATCGTCATTGTCATCGTCGTCCTCATGGTCGCCATCGTCATCATAGTCGTCATATTCATTATCATAGTTGACAGTTTTCATGGTTGTCATCATCATCGTCAGTCATTGTCATAGTCGTCAACGTCGTCATTATCGTCATTGCCAAAGTCGTCGTCATAGTGGTCCTCATAGTCGTCGTAATCATCCTCATATTCATTGCCATAGTCATCATCGTCGTCATCATCGTCGTCATAGTCATCGTCACGATAAGTTTCGTCCACTCGCAGCAATCGTCGCCTAAAATCATAACAGCAGCGCACTGTCGACGCGAGGAGTATCCACGCCGATTCCGTCAACTAAATTAAAACTGCACAGCGGTTCCTGTGGGGTCGAGAGGCCTGGGATGCAGAGAAGGCGAAGTGGGGGGGAGGTGGAGGGGGGTGGGGGGGAGCTGGAGGGGTGGGGCTACCCTCGGCTGTTTCTCGCACGCTTCTTCCAAGGCCGCAGGGAAGGCAGCGCTGCTGCACGGTGCCGGCGTGTTGCGCGCGCGCGCGCCTCAGTCCCGTTGGGAAGTTGCAGGATTTTTTAATGTTTATTCAAAGTTTTTTTTTTTGTTCTTCATTAACTCTGTTTGTTTCCAAATCTTGGGGTTCCATGGGGTTAGGTCTCCCCCCGCCCGCTGCGTTGGGCAACGCGCAGTGTCGCCCTTAATTGCAGCCGTGGTGAGATAACTGGCTGGCCACCCAATTAATCTAACCGCGGGAAGGTGGGTCCAATTAATGGCACAGCTATGCACCCCCCAGCAGCCCTTCCGTGCTACAGGTGCATTGCACTGCTGAGCTCAATTATCGCTGTTAATTGGAACATGTTTGCACAGTTACCCACGGCTAGGCAGCGCCCCGTCCAAAGATGGATTAAACACTCGCTAGCGCTCCTATTGACTTTACTACTCACTTCTTTTTTTTATTGCTGCCCTCGACAGAAATACGGCGAGTGTGAAATGATGCCCGCGTCGCGACCCATTTCTTTCCGCTGCGCAAAAAAACACAAGAAAGGGCCGCTCTTGTCAGCACGAATAAGTAACGGCCACGGACGTTATAAACATAACCCCCCTCCCCCCCGCAGAAGAAAAAAAAACAGGAGTTGGATTGTGGATTGTGACAAAGTGACTCCTATTACTTTGCCAGAAAATAACCGGGTCCAATTGTTTTGCGGTTAGCCCGCTTCGAAACGCGAGAGCCCAAATTTTTGTTTTTTTTTGTCGTTTCGTTCGTCGTGACAGCGAGGCAGAACCCTTACAGCCCCCCTCTGTCTGCTCCCGCGTGCCGCTCGGCGCGAGCGCGTGGCTCTGGGGAA